ACTCCACAAATGTCAATTTATATTCCCATTCTCTCGTCCACTTTGTTATCCCAAATCCTACATGTCTTAAGCCTTACATAAATGTTATTAAAAAAAAAGCCTTTTGAAAGGAACCTGGTCACAACCCCATATAACCCCTGCAGAGCCCTTTTAACAAGAGAACTGGTAATTCCCAAAACCGCGCATCTTTAAACCCTAAACCCTAAACCTAAAGGCCCTCAACCCTAAACCTTTAAACTTAGAACTCTCAACCCTAGGCCTTGAGCCCTATAAACCCCAAGCCCTAAAACCCTAAGCCCTAAACCTTTAAAACCTGAACCCTAAAGCCCTTAAACCCAAAACCCTCAAAGTTCTAAAAGCCCTTAAACCTAAAACCATAAACCTTCGAGGCCACTCCACCAGGCTTCAATTGAGTAGCGTTATTTTTGTGGTTGAACCTAGTAAGATTATATTCTTGATACAAAATACTATAGACCAAAAGGAGGATAGAATCTTACTCTATATTGGGTACCATATAGTATCCCCAAATTAAATGCCCTAAACCCTAAACCCTTAAACCCGTAAACTCTAAACCCCTAAACCCTATTGGGTACCATAGTATCCCTAAACCCTAAACCTTAAACCTTTAACCCTACTCAATTGACGAGGTGCTGCTTTGCCGTCCCACAGCTCAGGCCCATAGAGCCACCAGCCGCCTTGAGGAATCTTAGGGTTTAGGGTTTAAGGGTTTAGGGGTTTAGGGGTTTAGGGTTTAGGGTTTAGGGGTTTAGGGTTTAGGGTTTAAGGGTTTAGGGTGTAATCCCCCTTAAGTAGATAGAGTATGGCTTTGGGTATATTACAATAAGATCCCCATATACCCATATTCTATCTACTTAAGGGGGACTATAGGGTTTGGGGTTTAGGGTCCAGTATACAATAATATGAGAGTGACATGCTTTGGACCCTTAGGGTAACGGGATCTTGGTATCCTCTTTGAGGGTTTGAAGTAGGGATACATATTTGAGAGTCGCGTTAAAGGGGTCTATATGGGCAATCTGCGGATATATGGGGATGTGTTGGGTTTACGGTTCAGGGTTTATGGCCTAAATAAAAAGAACCATGGAGACGTGGGTGGACAGAAGCATGGGAAATCAGATGGAAACTTGTTGCAAAAAGTGCTTTCAAGTATTGTCTTGAGGGGTTGACACCAGGGGCAGGCAACGCCCGAGGGCAAATCGCGAGCAGGTTTACTTTTGTTAAGGGCCACGATTCGCGCTCACAGCAATCTGCGTCCGCGGCGCATCCCACCAGAATGCCTGACCCAGAACACATAATTACCGCAAAATTCCTTCACAACTCCCTCTGTAGCATGGAAGGTAGCCCCGATGTCAAGCTGCTTTGGGGGGGGGAATGGGGCAGCCACCCTTCTAGCAAAGCTTGGCTACATCGCTGAAGCCAGAACAAATGGGCGTTGCTCGATTCACGAATAATACAACAGTTTTGACGCAATCCTCGAAACTCCAGTCCGCGTTAGACATTAGCATCATGAAATAATCACAGGGTGCAATTTTTTGGGGCTCGCGGTAGTCAAAATCCTCTGCTCATGTGTGCGGTCTCTTTACAGAGCATGGATGCCTAGTGCACGAAAGATTTGTGCTGCCTTGGGAGCGTGAGGCAATTGATCGTGCATGTTGAGTTCCCTGCAAACATCCATGTTGAAGTGAAAGGGTTTGCCTAGGCAATGAACACTCCCTAAGGGTCCAAGGACCCAAATATTAGGGCTCTAGGTCACAAATACCATTCAGATTATATGTATTTGGGCCCTAAAACCCCATTATTTGAGTCCTTGGACCCTTAGAGACTGCCACAAGTAACAACAACCGCTTCAACCTGTGGGTCATAGTCTATTAGCTGCACACGCAGGCCGCCACCCTAAATCCTAAAGCCTGAACATGCATGCTACTGTATTATAGTGAGCAGGCCATTCTTGAAAACGTTATCAAACAGGATAACACAAGAAACATGGCGGGGCATGCCCTTGAAGTGGGGGCAATAAGTAGGGCTCTACTCAAAGCCCAGAGACCGTTTATTTCCCGATTGACTGAAGTCTGAGACATACACCGCAAACCGTATTCCATGCACCCTTGCCTCTAAACTCTATCAACCCTGAATTCGAGTTCCTGAAGACAGACTAATCTTGACACAAACATTCCTTAATAATAACCGGTGAACACTATAAAAGACACAACCCCAAACCAAAATCAAACAGAATTGGGCAAGCCCGGGATGCGGAGCGTCTCGTCGTAGGGCAGCCTGCTCGGTAGGAGTTTAAGGTTTAGGGTTTTCGGGTTGAGGGTTTAGGAAATTAGGATTTCGGGGTTTTAGGGCTTAGGGCTTAAGGGTTTAGGGCTATAGGCTCAACGCAAGCCGGCACTCCAGTGTAAGCTCAGGATTAAAGTTCCAGTGCTTTTCCCTGAAATTAAACTGAGGCTGCATGACTCACAATTGTCATTCAGGCCTTCGCAAGGGGGTTGTTGGAATTGTTTTTGGGTCTCGGTTTGTACGATTTTGCATTCCTCTAGAGGCCATCCATACATATATATATATAAATATATATATATATATAGATATGGGGATTCCCCAAAACATAGAGGTTCTATAGGGGGGTCCCAGTAAGAAGGATTATATCAATCGAGGTCTACGTGGGGGTCCCCATGCTTATGGAAACTACCCCATCCAAATATGAGGTGCAGCGAGAATCCTATTCAGCGGGAGGTTTCGAGGGTGTTCTTAGAGGACTAACCCCCAATCTGGAAAACCCTGAAACGCTAAACCTAGAGTCCCCTTCGCTGCCGCACCTGCCTGTGCGGGGCATCGATGGCGTGAAGGACAGCAACGCCCTTGAGCTTGCGAATTAGCTCCTGGCCCAGGTGTCCGGTTGACCTGGAACCCAAACCCAAAGGGTCCATGTAGGTCTCTGGGAAATACTTAAGGCCCAAAAGAGTTCCCATATACCTACTTTAAGGACCAAGTTACCATTAATATAGCTACATGGACCCTTTGGGAAAAAGTATACTACTGGCCCAAGACCCATGAACAAGAGTCACCCCTGTGTCCGCCCTTAAAGGCACCTTGGTAATATTGATAGTAGCTCACATGCCGGACAGAATGCTCCTTTGCACGCTTCTGAATGAAAACCTCCGCATTCCTCGGTGGCGTGCCAAGATAGGGCGCTAAGGTTGGGGGTTGAGTTGTAGGGACCCAACACAACGGTTCCGGGTTTAGGGTTACTAAAACATACGCACTTAGACCCTTCATTTATACCACAGCCTCCGGGCCCTACACATCCTTAACCACTTACACTTCTCCAACCTAATATGGAACGTCCCAGACTGCTGTACAAAGACTACTGTCTTTCGCAAAGGTCACCACACATGCTTCCATGTTTGTTTGGAGAGCGAAACACTCGAACCCTCAACCCTAAATTCTACCCCTAGACCCTAACGCCTAAACCATAAACCCTAAAACTAAAACTGGGTTGCTGTTAAGGAACTTAATTTAAGTTACTATATTGGGGGAACCATACTAATTACCATATATACCCATTATGGTAGCTTAATTTAAGTTCCTTAACAGCAACCCAGAAAACCCACTGAATACCTCTAACACCCTAAACCCTAAAACCCTAAACCCTAAACCCTAAAACCCACTAAATGCGCCTAAACCATAAATCCGCAACCCAGAAAACCCACTGAATACGCTCCAGAGTCTGGCCGAAGCCATGAAGGGCCAACAGCCGAAGCGCCATGGCAAGGAGCTTCGTAATGCGGCTCAGTGTGGGTTAGGGTTTAGGGTAGGTCCCCTATAAAGGGTTTAGGGTTTAGGGGTTTAGGGTTTTAGGGTTTTAGGGCTTTAGGGTTCAGGGTTCAGGGTTTAAAGTTTAGGGTGAGGGATTATAATCGGGTTTAGGGATGATAAAGGGGTTTGGGTTTTAGGCTTTGGTGTTGGGACCAAACAGCTCATAGGCTGTTCGGCTTTAGAGTTTAGGGTAAAAGGTTTCGTAGAGGGCCTTGGGGGTTTGAAGGTGAGCGTTTCGAGCGCAGGTCTAGGATTTAGCGATGGGTTAAGACTCATGGGCGTCTCGCGTTTAGATGCGTTTACGTTTAGGGTGTAGGTGTCAGGGTCAAAGGATCAAAGTCCTGATGGGATCATACGGGCACGGAAGTTCAATAGGAAATGATGCTCCACTACGAATCCCAATTCAATGTACTAGAATTGCCTAAACCTTGCACCCTAAACCTAAAGCCCTAAACCTATATACACACTAGACCTTAAACGCGGCGTATGTAGACTCGCAAGATTTCCCTCACTCCCGGAGATGGAGGTTCTGTGACCCACCTAGACCAAAAACCCTGCAAGGGTTTAGGGTTTAGGCGCACCCCCTGAGAAGGACCCCTCCAATTTGGGGAAATGCCGACTTCAATCTACCCAAATATCAGAGCTTCAGGTACCTAAAACTATTCAGACTATACCATTTGGGACCTCGAGCCCTACAATT